CGTGCTAGTGCCTTCTGTGAGTTCGCTCCAAACATCGAAAAATCTTTCCAGCACTCCTCCCGATAGTTCATTGTGAAGTTCAATTCATTGAGCCCTGCTTGATCGGCAACCATCCGGACCGGGCCTATATGGCTGGATGGAAGGCGGGTTTGGGGTCGTCGATCAACGGCGCTCGAAAAAACACGGACAGGACACGATCGAGACCGAGAAGAAACGGGAAGGTGAGAACCTTCGCAAGCCGGCGCCGACATTCAATCTACCGAAGCAGCCGATTCCGAGAGTCCATCGATTGGGAATCGGCTCACTCTAGCTCAGAGCGCCAACGACTTCTCTGATAAGCTCAAGACTGATATGTTCTTTCGTTCAAGCTTACGACCGGCTTCGTTCCCCAAAGCAGGGCTCGTTCACGAATCCATTATGTATCGAAACTCATGAAGAGCCGGACGATAAAATTGAGGGATGAGTGTTTGTGTGAGAGACCTCCCGAAACAAACTACTGATCGGTATACGTCGAAATCGTCGACGTACGACGGTGGGTTGACGGTCGCCTCCTGGACTGCTCCTGGATAGCCCCGGGAATTCCGGGAATTCCGGGGCTATCCTGTGGAATCGGCCTCTTTTCTGAGGAGCTGTGAACGAACCAAATTTTTGTTGACATCATGATCATGATCAATAGTATGACTAAAATTCGCTCGAGTCCCGTACGTACGAGAGGAGAGCCGGTTCCTGATGAGCTTCCTGGCTGTAGAAAACTTCGGAAGGAAGTTGCCTTCCGAGAGTTCGCGAGTGCTCTCCAAGTTGATCCATTGACCTATCAGCTCAGGCGGAGTATATCTGGCTGCTCAAGACCGGGGTGCCGAGGTTCTCGGCCGATGAATTCCGGAGATGATGGGGAGCGATTTGCCCTCAATTTTTCTCCTCCTGCTTTCGTCAGATGCAACCACGGAAGACAAGGAAGACCCTGCCGCGAGAGTTGAACAGTTGGGAACGAGCGAGTTCACCGCGGCGTTTTTCCACGGCGATGAGAACGATAAAAAGCGCTTTCGGCAATCGTTGAAGAGAGCAAGCCCCTTGTCCAGGCTCTCTCTCCTCTCCGAGAAGACCACCTTGATTGGCTTGAAGCTGACGATGATTCGGCCCGGTATCGGCTCAATTTCCTCCCAAGCATCAAAATACGAAGTTACCCAATGATCTCTATCGACTGTGCCTTCCGAGGAAGCGGAAACACTCGACGGCTACCGGCGCCTCAGTCACCCTAAGCGGGACGTCGCTATTGCGGTCCTCGTACGCCGCCGTTCATTCGTGACGTCACTTCAGACGAAAAAACTGCTCTCTCTTTCCCATCGCCGGTTCTGCCGGGAGTTGCCAGATTCACCACCGGTCGGTTGCGGCGGCAGCGCCTCCGGTCTATTCTATCTATTTCTCCACGCAGACTGACTGTCTGAACATCTATCCAGTCAGTCAGTTGGACAGCTTTCCGACGTTGAGCCGAATCCACCAGCAATCGGCTTGGTGTGTGCGTTTGTGCCCGTTTGCGAGTGTTCCGTCCTGTGCGGCTTCCGAATCTTCGGCCTTCGCGTCGTCTGTCATTTCGTTTTCGGAGACCTCTGAGCGAGATTTTCGACGAGTTCGCGATAATTCGTTCGATTTCTATTCGAGTGCGCGCCTCAGCTCAAGAGTGGCCGAAACACGGCATGTGTCGAGGTCGGTCAAGACTTTGTGATCGGAAGCTGAGCTCGGAATCCATACAAAGTGCATTTCTGGTAGCATTTCGAGCACCAATAGAAGTGAAGTGCATCTGATAGAGTTGAGGGAATCACGTGTTATTACTCATCTCGCGCTGCCCGGCGCGGTGCTGTACAGGAGCGGCTCGACTCGGATCAACCAGAACGGTAAATGACCCCATCCGATACTATTTCCGGACGAAAATGAAACCACAATCCTATAGGGTTTATTCCCCAACACGTTCGGGATCGACAGGATATTCCGATCTCAGCTCAATTCGCTTCGATTCATGATAACTTCTGTGAACTATTCTCACGAAGAGCAGTTTTAGATCGCGATCGGAAGCTTAATCTCCGCCGAATATTCTCCTTTGTTCGCTCGCCCGGGCCAGAAGTGATTATCCCGGCGGGGACGCTCCAAGTCCTCTCGAAAACGAGAGCCCTCTCGAAAACGCTCCCCATCCGGGGAATTGATAATCCCGGTCCGAATCGGTCCCGCTTGAGCGAGAACTCCATTCGCTCACTCGGGTTTTGATATCACTTCTATTATTCCCTGTCGCGCGATTGTTTCCCCGGATTGCGGGCAGCATATTTTGTAATCGGCCATGGTGAGCCTTGATCCAATAAGGCGGGATAATCACGTATTTGTCACAATCGATGCGGACGACCTCGTTCTTATCAACAAAAGGGGCTCGGGAGATTCAGCGGACAACCCAGGAGCCCATGATATGAGGAAAGAAATCATCAGAGACGCCGTGATTTATCTGATTAGGTCGGGATGAGATAGTGGAAGGGCTGAGCTGCCGATGCTTCCGACGCCAGAATTGCTTGTGGTGTCGGGCTGTTGACCGAACAGCCGACCCAACAGCGTATGTTTGCTCTGACCCCATAACAGCTCCCAAACAGAAATTGACGAATTCGCTGAGCTGGATTCTCCGCGAACGAGGGGAATGGATCCTTCGTCTGATGATGTCGCTCTATGTGGGAGCTCTTTGCCACCAAATGCGGACCGACAAGGTTGACTCTCGGTCGCTGGCGTTCTCAACTCAGTGAACGGAAGGCGGTGATGGAAGAACGGCTCCACGGTACATTCTGCGAGGGCATACGCACTGCCGTTGCCCAGCGAGCCATTCTCATTGAATCAGCCGGCGAATCGAGGGAGCTCAGAGCGATCAGCAGTCTCGGGTTGCGAAGATCGGGCCCCGAGAATTTTTGAACGAGAGACTTCCTCTTGTGCTTTCCCGGATCGTGCAAAGACACGCGAAGCGGAGGATGTCATGAGTGGCAGATCGTCCGAAACAACGCAGCCATACAACGATTCTAGATTGGAATGTTAACCTTGCTACGCCAAATCTAGAGCTGCGTGGGTCGTACGCAATCCTTCTCGTGTCGTGGCGAATTCAGAATGATGTTTGCGTCGCTCCTGGTTGTTCACCGGACAGAAAAACAGTAATTAGGAAGAAACCGATGAAAACAATGGGACAATCCTTGGAATGCTGAGACATTCGAAAACTTTCTGAATAACTCATTCACGTATGCCTTCCGAAGAAAAACCGTGTGAGACGTCGGTGATTCGGAGAAAGAAGATTCATCGCAGGTCGGCTACTCTCGATGGGATCAGCTCTTATCGACAGATTTCAGGTTTATGAGTTCTAGTTCCTACACATTTCCTCGACTCAAATGAATCGCTGGTCTTCATCATCTGAGCACAGACTGTGAGACGGGCGCTTCTTTTCTCGTAGTCCTCACAATACGTGATCGATGGGTCACCGTTAGCCCGAGTGTTCCGGTCCCTCATGATGATGGAGTGGTCGCTTTATTTCACGGGTTCGGCTTCGCGGTAATGAGATACGATGTCTTCAATCAAGGATTGCGTCAGTTAATAATCTAAGATACATCAGGACAAGTTCCCACCGGTCTAATGCGCACCAGACACCACTACGAAAAAATATAGACGCAAATACGGCATACATCCGGATGTACGAGTCTCATCGAAATATGACTTTCGGAAGGGCAAGAGATGTTGAGAAGACTCCAGCGGAAATTCCGTCTGATGAGATGTGGATCGCCCTGAATACGCCACACAGAGCTGGGTAACAAATCCGAACATCGGCTCGGACCCGTGCACCTGGCTTAGCCCTACGATGGCGCGTCGACTGAAATCTTCATTTCACGGCATTGTTCGAGCAGCGCCTTGCCTTTAGTTCGCATTTATACGCCGTGTCCCGCAGCGGCGACGGCATCTCTCTACCGTAAACTCGTTAAAGATACTTTTGGTAAGTCGCGGAAATCCGAATGCCTGCGACATTATCTCTCAAGATTGTAGGCCAACTATGTCGTGCGATACGTCGCCCTGTTTGCTCAAGGTCCGTAAGGCGTTCCCGTTTCAGTCGCCGAAGTTGGGAACCGCACCTAGCAGAACATGACTGAGCAGAAAAAGTGCGGAACGCTCTTTACCGCATGAGCAAAGTGAAGAATCCTTACGGTTAAGGCTCGGAGGCCTTCGTCAGGATCGGGATTGATTAGACAGAATTTTTTTTCTCGCTCAAACAGAACAAGGATCGGCGTCAATGACCCGCGTTGTGCCGTTATCTACTGAATACGAAGATACCGCATTCCAACAGTGAGGTTAAGAAGATTTTGTTGGCGCTCGTTTTCTTTTGTTTCTGAAGCGCGACGTTTCCTCCATCTTGAGTCTTTCTAACGCCGTCCACGGGAGCGACCGATTTCATTCAACTCTTTTCGCCGATTTTGATGAAATTCCTGGAAGGGAATCGGGCTTCCGGGAAAAAAGGTTTCCTGTAGCTTTCCGGAGACGATCGAGGCTAGGAAGAACCTCTGGGTGGGAGTTTTCCCATGAAGAAGTTCCCGAGGGAAGATCTCAAAAGATGAGCTCCATCGAAGTCTCTGCAGCAGAGTGAGATTCTGGGCGTATCGGTCGATCGGCGTCTCCGACGATCGCCTTGATGCTCAGTGAATTGCGACGACGATGACAATCCATGAATAGAAGAGAATGAGGGATCATGTGTTTCTTCAGACGACGCGACGGCTGCATCCGTTTCGCCATCTTCGACTTGAAATCTCCCACGAACGGGCCTACGCTCAAGGTTGTCGAAGGACACCGAATCTCGGCCCAGTCAGCTTCATACCCCTCCCTTGACTTCACGCTGCTGCTGTCGCCGCCGCCGCCACGCGCAAATTGCTTCTGACGATCAACGAGAATCGCTTGCAAACATTGACTGCTGTAGATCGGCTCCCTGAGCCTTCCACAGAGCAATGGATCGATCAAGCCATCGCAGCAACACTCCGGATAATCGTTTGGTGCCACAAACCTCCTGGGATCTGCGGACATCGTCCCCAGCCGTGAGTAGATCATTTGAAACTCACTAGTTTTCGAAATTCGCGCAAAAATCAGAGGACCAGATTCGGAAGAGAATCCATGAAACTGCTGCGCGTGCGCTTTTCGGTCTTGGTTCTCTGAGGCGGAACGCGAGGGAGCTGTCGCGGGAGCGAACGAAGTCTGAAGGAATACTCACTGAGAGATCGCGATGCTGCGGCATGTTCAGAACCGCTCCAAGAGCTTCTCTCATTTTCAGGGAGATGTGATCCAGGCAAACAAATCAGGTGAGTGAGATCTCCGTCGAGTCGGTCCTCCAGAATGATTCGAAGGTCCCCGTCTTTATTTTGATATCGAGTCGCGGATTCCCTTCGGTCGCTCGACATGCCTTAAAAGGCTAGCAAAGAACTGGACGTGATTCAAATCTCAGTCAAATTGCTCAGCAGAAAATTCCGGTACGCACAGGAGCTGTGTAGGAGTTCCTACTCATTCATCCCTGGTGGTCGATTCATTTCGAGGAAACTCGTGATCTCGAGATCACAATTCTTACGCTCTCTGAATGTCTTACGGAAAAATTTGTGGTCTCAATGTGGACTCTGCTGAGGTTTTTCGTGTCTTTCCCCGTTCGTTTTAATCTGATAATCGGTATTTTTCCGCAATCTCAGAAGAATGGACGACTTCGAAAAAAACAGTCAATCACAAGACTCGTCAGATTGAAACTCGAGTGCAGCGACAGCTGGTATTGGAGGATGGGAAAGTCATAGCGGACTCGGGCCCACAGGTCAGCCAGCGAACGCGAGAAGATAACAAGGTGGAGGAGTCCGAGGACACCAACCATAAGTGAGCTGTTCTCCTGAAAATGCTTTATCCTTCGACGGGAACGACTGGATACCAGTGCCCCCGTCTCTTATATTCCCAGCACACCGATCTCTTTTCCATCCTCTGAATATTTTCTCCTCCGCTTAGGACTTCCGGAGAGCCGGATCTCCCATCAGGTTTCGTGAAAATACCAGGTTCTGAGCGTGTGATTGATGACAAGACCACGACTCATCACACCACCCGAGAGTCCCGCGAAGAAAATATCAAGATGCACGACGAGGATCAGCGGCATCTTGATAATATCGATGGCGTACACAAACTCGCCCTAACGGGCAATGAAGTCTCCCTGTGCGACCCCCAAAAGTTCAAGGGTAAAGTCACCCACTACAGGTGAGTTTTTTGAGCATCCGTGATGCAACAGCCCATGCGTTAGTCGTGGACCGAAACACATCGGTCCGAGGAAGAGCCGCTCGACTCGTTCAAGATCCCCCGCCTGCCCCAGCCTCTACGACGGACTTGAACGGGGAAACTCTAAATCTCTAAATACACACAGCTCAGCCGGTGAATCAGGGCCATGTTGCGACACACTTTACGAATCGTAGCACGCGGCTGAGATTTCCCAATGCTGGGGGGTTTCGATAGACAATGAAGCTTTTTGGAACACTCTGCGATCCGTTACGCTTGGAGAGAAGAAGATTTCTGCCCGACTTCGCCCTTGTTGAGTGAAATCTGCGACTATGAAGTCGCGCTGTCATCGCGGAAGCGGAGTCGAAATCTTGCCAAGCTTTTCTGTATTCTATCTGCCAGGCTGATCTGAGGACCAAGGTCGTCCGCTAACAATGGTTTCGGACTTGAGTTCATGTGAACAAATATCTCGCGTCACGTCGGAACGGGCATCGAACAGGCTGCTTGCTCCCCAGTATAGATTTGGAGTATGCATAGAGTCTCTCGGAAAAAGTTTCCAATTTGGGTAATCACTCCGGAGCTCGATCAAAGACTCGACCGAACCCTCACTCCGGGAGTTGCCTTCAACGGCCAAAGTCGATGTCAATCATTCCGCACAACAACGCAAGGATTGAATCGAGCGGATTACGTCGACCGCTTGGGCTCAATCAAGAGGGAAACGTGACTCGACCTTCCGAATTCCAGCGCCCGCAGCAAGCGTATCACCGACAAGGACCGCATCAAAGAGCTAACGGAGCACGTTGATGGTAAAGCAAACACCCAGAAGACACGAACACATTTCCACGAAGAGCAGAGTGACGACGAAGTGCCAGAAGAGTTTGCCGAGCGGGAGGGCCGCGTATGATTCATCGTCTTCCAGGTATTCACCGGTTTCACTTGTTCTGCGACCCATGCTTGACTCGGTAGACTCAGTGACCCCAACTGAGTCAGAGAATTCTTCACGGGCGAACCGAGTCGATGGATCTGGATATCAGTGACCATTAGGCAATCAGCAGTAAAACTTTCTCTGCCGAAACGCAGGAATTTCGAATATCTCAATGACGGAAAGGGTAAATTCGATTACCTCTCGGACAAACTCGCCAAGGACCGAACATATCTGCAGATCACTCAAGGCAGTAATCGTCTATCGTCAGACTACCGTACCCACGACGACGGATACTCACGTCCCATCGAGAACACTGACAGGTGAGGAGCTTCTTCCCTTTGTTCCGAAAAAGTCATTATCATAGTCCGCAGTCATTATCCTTTACCGGGAGAAAGGAACCACCGAGTTCGTGCTCCGATTTCATCGCACTCATTTTCCTCAAACTCTTATTTCAGAGCCTCTCGATGGCTTGACGAACATTTCGTGGAAGAGGATCGACAACGAGTTATCAATGTGGACACTCGCAGCACTCGTGACTCTCGCGATTACGATTTCGGAAATTATCACCGAGTTGCAGACCTGAGGGACAGTAGAGACTCACGGTGGGTCCAGCTAGAGTCCGAACCGGCGACGAATACCCCGAGTCGCTTATGATGAAATTACATAAATCGGATCGAGCGCAAGATTTCTCGGATGTACATATTCACTCAGTCAGCTTCTCTTCTGATCAGTTTCAGTGATCACCGCGACAGCCGTTACAGTGACCATAGAGACAGTCGGGTAGATCAACGCAGACATGAGACTGTTTACGCTGATATTCGACACTCTTCCGATTACCATCGTGACATCGACAGAGGCCATTCTCCGATCGTGACGTCGCCTCACTCGACGTTGAAGTCTGTGCGAAACGAAGACTACAGGTACGTCACCGAACTAATATCCGGAATCGGATATCAATTACCGCCGCGGAATCACTCGATTCCCAGACGGTCAATCCACGCGCGGTTCAGAGCGATCGGGATCCTGGAGATCCCAGATTTTTCGGCATTCCTCGTGAATCACATCGTATTCCTGCGTGAGCACAGAGCAATTATTCCAATCAGCATCGATCACTGTTTTCCAGGACCCACACTTGGCGGTCATCTGGTGTCGGAGAAGAGCCCGACATTAGGTACACGGTACGCTCCCCCGATTCCACACTATCGACAGGGAGTCGCCCGTCTCGTACGTTCTACTTCGGAGCAACTGGTCACACGAATGAGACGCCATCAGCTACGTCGCCCCTGAGCGCGCCCTCACTCGTCAAGAAGAGCAGCTTTAATTTAAGAGGACGATGAAGTGCTGACATCTTATGGTGGCATCAGCGTCAGCACATCGCGTCATGACGCATTAAGCTCACCGAACCATATCCATGACCTGAACTAAACCCTGCGAACTCACACACTTCATTACAAAAGCTATTGTCAGGGCTGGGCTTCAATCGCCGGATTTTTTTCCGAGGATCCGCTACATTCCCCTGCCCCCCGTAGAGTCTATGCGTGAGCGGCTCAAATTGCCGCGCGATTCCGCGATGAATGTCCAGTCTCGGCTGAGGGTTTATCTCGAGCCAGAAAATTCATGGAAGCGCTCCAACGAGATACCGGACGGCCGATCATGCACGAGACAGCTCCGCGCACAATGGTGAAGACGACGAGAATTCTCGTGCTACTTTCGGTGCCCTGGCGGCGATTCCCCCGATTTGGAGAAGGGCGAGAAGCTGGAAATTAATGGATGCCTCGGTGGTGAGCCCGAATCGGGTTCGTGAGCCGAGTATAGTAATAAAGTAATGTGCTTTTTAACCAGTGAAGGACAGTTCTAGGAAGAAGCATTGAGCGATTGTGACTTCATCCTCAGCTCTATCAATTATAGCCACAATGGAATAGAGAATAATGTTTTTCCATTGATTGACTCAGTTTCGGTTCATAACGACCAAGATAACTCGAATGCAGCGTTTCCTTCCGTGAATGATGCATGCTTACAACAGAATAAATCGATCGATCTTGATCCGCTGGTGAACTCCGTAATTCACGCGTGAGATTCATTCTTTGAACTCCATGATTCTCTCTGATGCGAGGCATTGAAAGAACTCGGAAAAGTGAAGTCACTTGTCTCAAACTGGTGTCTCTCATTACCTCGGGCTCCATTGAAAGTAACGCCACCGGTGATGACACGGGGAACCCCCCTCGCGCAAGATGGATATACGATTCAGAGCGGTTCCGCAAAGATTGATCTGACCCAACCGATGCACTCTGCGGAAGTCAGCTTATGCGTCTCTCCTTCCTCATCAACTCAGGTCGAGACGAGACGAATTGGCTCTCGTCGTGCACATTTTGCATTTTCGGTTTGCCGAAGATCTTGGCGGGTGTCGCGAAATTATTGCTGTGAGGAGATTCCGAGTAAATGTGTGCTTTCAGGACTATATCCTCGCTGAGAAAGCGAGCAGCGAATGTAAGCGAGAGTGTGGGCCGTCTGGATACTAGAGTCGCGCAGATATCGAAACAGATCTTGCAGAGAGAGAATCACTCGGGAAACATATTTTTTCGGGACATCGACCGGCGAACCGGCGAAAACATTCAGTCGAAAAAATTACCTGGAAATGGTATCAAAGAACGAACGACGCAGACATACATATGTCATGGCAGATAATGCAGGTTGCAAATCGATGCCGCGGATGGTGGCTGACACTGATAGCCTACAGGGCAGGGGACGATACACGCAACTTTTGTCAAGTCCCGGAATCGGTAGTTTTTTTACCAGGTCATTCCGAACCAGTCGTACGGAATCTTACGTACGTACGATCTTACATAAGCTCGTGCGTCGGCTCGACTGTCACCCAGAGCCAAGCGAGGATCACAGTCATTTTAACTTCCAACTCCCGCCGAAGTTCACTTGTCAAATACTCGAGAACCAGCGGTGAGGGCGCTTCGCACCTGAATTCTGAACACAGGAAGAATGAACAAGAAAGTCGAGTAAAGCCAAGGAGTTTCGTAGAACGGGGGCCGGCTGGCTGAAGTTGATATCAGAGAGATTGGATCATTGAAATCATGAGAAAGAAATAGTAGGGTAGAGATTCCTGGTCGGTGTCTATGGGGATGGAAATCATGAGGGTAAATCGCAGAGTGATCCCTGGTCGGTGGCTATCGGGATGGAAATCATGAGGAGAGAGTTGCAGGGTAGTTATACTCTAGGCACGAGGGATTCCTTGTGGAGAATCGAGATTGTCGGACAAATTGAAATATTGAGAGGCGACCCTATCCCGGGAGAGTAGGTACTAGGTACCTACTCGGGATAGGCTGCTAGCTGCAGCCCCTGCGAGTCGAGTCTAGAGTAGGCCTTCCAACGGATGCAGATCCGCGGATCCGGTACGCAAGGACTATCAGAATTTCGCGGCTGCAATCGACAGGATTCACTAAATATCCACATCGATGTGTTCATCGATGTACATTGGTATATGAGAATGTGGGAATATCATCTCCACAGCTGCTGAACACCCGTATCCGCGGATCTTGGGGAAAACCGCGGATGTTTGGGAGGCCCAGTCTAAGGCCGGGCATCTGATACTCAATCCTTTGAGCTGCGTCAAGCTGAGCTATATGTGAGTGCAGTCTACCTCACAAATCTCGGCGATCACTCCGACTGATTTCTGAGATGCGCCCGATGCGATCGTTGTTGGCGCGAAGCCGCAGTCCCTCACCCTCTTGCATTCGCCGCTTTGCAGTGAAGAGGTCCGATCAAGCTATCAATCTGAAGGAGCAAGCTTCGAATCTCATTCCTCCTGGATCTCCCCAGTCAGGAGAGCACTTTGCAGAGTTCCCCATTCCTCGGATGCAACCGCTGTCAGCCTTCTTTCCAAAAAGCAAGAAGCTAGGTAATGTCAATGACAATGCCGTAGATTCACGCGAAAACGTTTGACGACGATTTTTTCGGAAAGCGGTCGGCTTGCCGAGGTGTCAAATCATAGCAAATAGACCTATCTCTCTATCGGCCCACTATTTGATCGAATAGGGGTTAGGTTCCATGAAAGCTTGGTCAGAGCCCATTGATTGCCGGACGGGGCTGCAATATCCAATTATTCTTCGAGAGATGGTTTCCGTGGTTCGGAGGCATCGATACTTCTTCTGGATTCCGACGGCATAACCATCGAAAACTGCGCCAGCAATCGAGTTTCGGAAGTTTTTCTGCTTCACGAATCTGGAATCGAGAGCCACACCCATCTACCCATTGTAGTCCTTGGGCTGCCGAAGCAGGAAGTCCTCTCGGACTCTCGCTGCGGCTTCCCCGACGAATCCGCTAAGATACGAAGATTGGTGAATGTTGTTGGTTTCCAGTTCGACATATAGCGCGTAGTCGTCATCATTCAGGGAACGCGGTTAACTTTGAGCCTCATTTTTGACGTGAAGGGGACATCGATGACATAAGTTATCATAAGTTATGATAACTGTTCCTGAGTTTAGCTTCTTGAAATTTCATTCGTGTCCACATCGGGGGGAACATCCGCCGAGTGTTGTGCAGTGGAGGCCTTGATAATCTCCAAATGTCGCAGAAAGCGGCGCCTCTCATCCACGCCACAAGCATGACAGTACACGTTTTGGAGGAAGACACTTCGGAGTTGCGAAGTTTCTCATTCCAATGCAGCAGTGTAGGAAGGATATAGCATGATTTCGTCATCATGATGGGATTCAGGTCTCACTGAAACGGATTCGATCGTGGCCGCGGCATTTTCGACAACGGCGACCTCGGGAGCCGGAGCCGCCCCATGAAGAGATCCTCCCGATCCCAATGACAGCATGAATCTGTTGACACGCGCACTCGCTCAGCTTGGAGGTGCTTCGTCGTGCCGCTTCTGTCGCCAGGAGCTGCCTTTAAAGGGTCTCATCTGTCGGAGATGAGCTCGATTCGCCTCAAGTCAGGAGAACTACTTAATTCTCCGGGAAACCTTCGTTGTTCACCCAAGCGAATCATGATCATGATCGAAGCCCGACTCGATCTCGATTTTGGCAGTTTTCATCGAATAATCAGGAACCCTTAGGTTCTCGCTCTCATATGTCTGCTGCCATCTGTCGGGCTCTCACTCGCCGACCTCGCCTTATAGATTTCCCTTCGAAAAACTGTCGGACTGTGCCACAATTCCCGCTTATTTTTACGCTTTCGTGCTGAATCCAGGGGTATGTGGGAAATCATCTGCAGAAGTCGAATGATGGATCTGCCTCCCGAACGATTGCACCTGGAGACTTTGCCGTAAATTTACGACCCAGCGATGCAATTCGGATAATCCGAAATTCCTCGGTTTCTGAATTATAAGGCTCCAAAAACGTACAAGATTTCGATGCTTGAAGGACAAAGTACATCGAATTGGTCAGCAAAGCCTGCGACAAAGACGTTTTCACGACAAAACCGAGGACTGCGAGCGACTGCTTGATTGGGTCTTTATTCGACTGGGATGGGATATTCATTCATCGATCCGGCAACAACCCGTCTTCAATTCATGCATCGTTTTTCAACGATCAACTTATCCCGGAAGCCGCAATATTTTCAATCTATGGAGTTCATCGCCTGCCGTTTGAGCTATTAAGAGCGTTCCCTATTTGAGCTCGAGCTGTGGCTTCCATTATCCGTCACGATCGCCAGCGGAGGAGATCGTTTTGCAGCTTCCCTCTGCGGAATTCTAGGCTCAATCAAACAGAAATGCATGATATCCTAACTGGGGCAACTTCGTTTTTCTCAAGCAATATCGCTCAACACCAATATTTCCCATCGATCCCGCGCAGGCGCAGTGATTCACTCAGTCAGCATCATTCGCTGCGCCATGTATAATTCGAGAAGCTCGAGCAAAGTCGGATAGGGCCTCACGGAACGCGAACCGCTCGAGCTGGCGGATAAATTCCTGCATCAGAATAAGCAACGGATCTTTCGAGAGCGCTTTCAGTTTCAAGCGCTTGAGGAGCATAGCGGGCGAGTTTAGCTGAAAGCATCTTGGATTTCACAGCGATCCTCTCAGAGCTGGGGATGTTTCAGGAAAGGAAACGTTGGCCGTACAGCGAGCGTCACACGTCAGATGTGCGGTGGCTGTTGTCAGCTGAGACCGGCTCTCCGCTCCGAAATGGAGATTTTAAGGTGGAAAACGGAATAATGGTTTCTGAGGTGAGCTTGCCAGACAGGGCACCAGTGCTTCGGCTCCTAAGAGAAGGAACTCGCGAAGACTGCTACCTATGGACTCGTTTTGTGTAGGTGTGGGCTCCGGCTCATGCTCACCCATTTTCAGAGATGGAACCTCTGGATTCACCCTTCGAGATACCGGAAGATGCCGAATCCCTCTAGTAAGCGAAAATCTTTCAAGTCATGGGCGATCTACGAGTATACGAACTACCTATCCCTAGCGGAGAGTCAGAGCGTTTCGTGATGATGCAAACACTTTTCTTTATCCGCAAACACATTCTGTCCTGGAGTCTATCGGGAAGTGGCGAGGAAACCAATTTTTGAGTCGATCCTAGAATCAGTGCCAGAGACCTCACGTCGCGGGCGACGGAACGGAGATCGTACTGGATGTTTTTCAATTGAACACCGTGAAATAGCTTCGGAGACGAATATATCGACTGATCATTGACTGCGTATCCAGATGGAAATTAACTCGGAGATGTTTTGTCTACCGCCACGCCAGCCGTTCACTCCAAGCGTCCAAGCGGCAAGCAATCGAGAACTGTCGGATGCAAAGCGAGCTCTTCCTCGGGAATGGCTCACGAATCCGCTCTCGAGCTGAGCGGATCGAGGAAGTAGAACGACTAGAACACGTTTATGACAAGATTCGGCGGAGGATTCGAAGCTTGACCGAGAAGTAAGGACGTTCCCTTATAAGGTAGAATTCGGGATGATCCCCGGCTGATGAGGAGGAGCTACGTCGACAGCGTCTGATCTGGCCACGAGTTCCGTATTTCATTATCCTCGGGGTATTTGAAATCTCGGCCCACCGCATAAACAAATGAATGAATAATCTTTTCAATTTTGCCTCATTTCCAGGTACGAGGATTTGAGGGCCGAGATTTTTCAGCGAACTCCAAGAAATCCTTCTCTATTCGGTACTCCTAAACGGCGTTGCTCCGATAATGTGTCTCCCTTCCTGGAACTGGATTCGAGTGGTATGCGGAATTGTCCGCGTTCGCCTCGGGGAAGAGAAATCACGAGCTCGCCACTCGGCGTCGCTAGGAAGAAGAAATTAAACAAGGTACCGGTCGGCATGCTACCCGCTCATCAAGAGCCAGGATTGACATTGAAGGACTCCTCGTGCCTTTCTTTTCTTGGATAGAGGACGGTTCCCGGCCTATTTGTAGGGTACCGTAGTATCGTCTCATTAGCTCTTGAAAATTTGGTACATCCCACTCTGACACTGGAATTTCCTCCCCAGATCGATCTCGCCTTTTTGAAACGCTGCGCTCGGAGGGTCGAATATATCGAGGATCCACGGCTTCTTAAACTAGCGATTGTGAATAACTTGAGGAACCAAATGATAGAACCGAGGAAGTGGGCCACTTGAGGGAATACTCAAGAAATACTCCGGAATATGTACAAGAGAAATGAGGTTACGGACGACTATTCGATGAGAGAATAAATATTGTGTATCGGCTGTTGGGAGTTCCTTCGATTCCTGATTCATCTTGCACGCTTAGTCTCGTTCACATCTTCTGGAAAAATGAATTTTCTCACCAGCAATCGATTCCGTTCAGGATCAGAAGCTTGCGATGAAAACCTCCGCATCGATCGAGAGCTCCATATGGAGCACTTGTCGGCCAGCAACATCCGCGCCGAGGGCGGCTCGGGAGAAGGAGGAAAAAAACAACACGGGGTAGTCGCGGCGGGGGAGCTTCCGGGGGACGGTGGTGCAGCAAAGCTGTTGGCTGGGAGAGATCAATAATTTCTCCCGGATCGAGGGCCTGTGATCCCGCCCAGTGGGCCCGCCTCGAGTCCGCCCTAGAATCAGAAATGCCCCGATTCAGGAAGTTCAGCAGGAAGGAAGTTGATTCAACAGATCCGGAGATTCATCCGGTGCTAGACCATCTTGTTTGACCAATGAACAACCCATCGTATCCTTGGGTCGCAGCGCGATACGCGACTCCTTCTGGGCCTCCTGACGGCTATGTGTTCCACAGTCTTCCGGTATGTAATTTCCGTTTTAAATATGCAGTACCCTCTTCTCCTTTGCTACATCCGGTTCCGTCCAGTCCTGATTGACTTTTCGTATGATCGTTCGATTGAGTGCTCCTATGAGCAATTGGGAGCCGCTCGATCCCGAAGCAGAAGGAATGTCACTCTCGCTGTCGCGGGGAGAGGCGTTCTCCTGCGCCGTTCGGATGGCCCCCATGGGAAGATTTGATCCACTACTGAATGGAGCAGTCTTTACAGGATGAATCCAGCCATTCCGAGCTTCGCGGCGGAACTCTTGTGGCGATCGGTGAGTCCTCCCCACCAATGAGTTTCACAATAATGAGCGGTATAGTTTAAGAGCCATTGTCACAGAAGAAACTAGCTCTCAGTATGTCAGCTCAGAACGCCTCATACGATGAGCTCCGTCCAGAGAATATAATGAGTGGCCGTGGCCGATCCTTCCCGAGCCCTTCCGCGAGAACAAACCGTCCGTGGCTCAGGACCCCGTCGTGACTCTGTCTAGGGAGAATGGGCATCTCCTTGCACTTATCAAATGATTGGAACAATCGACCGGGGCGATTCCAGGTCTGTTTCGATTATCCACTCAAGAGTCGGAGCGTTTCTCGAGAGTCCCGGGACGCGGGTTCGCCCCTTCTCACTCGAGCGCATCTTGATCCATGTAGGTCTGTGTACGGTGTATTGAAACGATGCGAAATTACTTTTTGGATATGGAAATGCTTCCTGGATGTGGGCATGTGGATTGGACCCTGCAATCGTATCAGGAAAGGTCTCGGATAGGATCGTTTTTTCTCGGTGAATTTTTTCGTGGGGAGTGCAGAATCAGCTCCCGATCTCGAAGTTCGGTTCCGAGATCCGAGGTTAGTCCCGTCGAGTTTTTGAAATGACAGTTTTTGACTGCTTTCCCACCTGGAGAATGGACGGCTCTGGAGACGTGCCGGAAACCGATATAGAATAGAGAGTTCGGCTCCTCAGAGCCGATTCTCGTTGAAACCGTACTGATATTCGCGACTTGTGTGCAGCGCTGCTCCATCGGGAAGAGGAGGGATAATTGGCGCGTGGTGACAGCTATCTCCGGAAAGATTTTCTGTGAGTTCATAGTGCATTCCTCGAGGGGCGGCTGCAACCTCGATGTCAACTACCGATTCTCAAAACACCCAATTGCAGGCTGGCAACAAGTACGAAACGGGCTGACTCTCGGGTTGGTGTGAGTTTTGGTGGCCGAGTGAGAGGGCTTCATGTCGAGAAACCTTCTTTCAAAGGGCTTCACGTCAAATTGGCCTGTCATGCTCCGAGCCTCGTTGTCGACTCTTTTGTCAGCAACACTAAGGGGTGCGCGAACGATTCGATCTGGCCGCGGCATCAAAAACCACAGGAAGTCGCTCGCATCGATGGAGATTGCCCGAGTCAATGACGTCGGTCAGCAGACACCTTCTCGTTAGTTGCGCCATGCCGTTCGAGGGGAAAAAATATTAATCGCTCGCACCTCAAAACTAAGCTGCGCTCATTCCATGTTCAATCTCGATGAGTGATCTCAACTCATCTTCGGAAAACGGATGGGCGCGTTTCTTGTCGCCGTTGTTAGCTCGTTTCCTCCTTAATTTATTCTTCAATTTGTTCTCCGTCTTTTATGCTCTCCCTCTTCGGTGTCCCGAGAACGTCTTTTCTTCGCAGCTCTCTTGCGAGATCTGCGACGGCGATGAGATCGGGATGGAATTTCAGTTTCGACTTCGACGGTCTCGGTCGTGCTGCGAACTTCTGGAATAGCTTCCGTCAGTACGTACACGTGGCCTGAACCATCGTTGGAGCTCCACGTCACTCGTGGCCGAGCTCTGGGCACGACGAACATGTTCGACAGTAGAGCATTCGAACAGATGGCTCCGTTCTTCAGACTGAGGATTTCGCTTGTCGAGTAGTTCGGTTTCTTGAGTTCGAGTGCATTGCACCGCCCTCGCTCGGTAAGACATTTCGGAACATCTACGAGAGGAGTCTCCGGATCGGCGGGGTTTTCTCTCGCCTTCACCATTTCGGCTACGAGCCGATTGGCCAAGTAGCCGACGGTTCCGACGGGATATTGTCGCCTTGCACTATTCTTTCTACCCGAATCATCACGAGGGCTGACCTCCAGCTTTGCCGAACTCGTTGTTGTCAATGGTTGAACAATTCCTTCAATGCTCGAAATTCCGACAGTCGGACAGCCTCGATTTCACAATTTCACGGTCTTATACTGTGTTTGGGAGCTCTGGAAATCTCGACTACGAAGAGCACTTGCGGTCATTTCCCCACATTTCGCGGAAGCCAAGCTCCTTGAACGAAAACTAGTCTAATCGCTTTATGATTGAACAGAGCTCGCTGCGTTGAATTCTTCCGCAGCGGAGGCAAGGACGACATATTCTATGACTCGTTGGCCTCTTCACCTCCTCGAGAATCTAATCATCGAGGATCTCGGCTAGACTCCACTGAGCATATCTGCGGGCGATCGCATTCCGCTCCGGGCCAATCATCGGATGATCGTTGAACCCACGCAGAGCCATAAACCTTAATTTTATGATCTTGTACGATCATATGCTATGGACAAGCGACTTCGAGCTGGATCCATTTGTCCGAGCCTCAGAGACCCCAGCCGCGAAACCTTTCTCGTTAGTAGAGCTGCCGAGGAATTTTCCGAGACACGATATCGCGCTCTCGGTCGGACTTGCCCGTGCCTCAGGATCAGGAAGCGATCAAGTATCCGAGGATGAGGTCCCTCTCGGGTACCTGGGCATACCTGAGCGGCGCCGGGACTTTCCGGTGCCTGATTAAGTCTTGTCCCACGGCCACGGCGCATCAACTTTTCCCTAATTTCTCGCCCTTTATGTCGAAGGTCGGGTATGGGAGTTTCAGGACAGGAAGACTGTGTCCGTCAGAAATATGGGGAGGGGGCTCCATCGGGGGGAGAGAAAATTACAATCGTTCTGCTTATGATTCCAGATGGCCAAGCCGGCTCTTGCGTAGCTTACTCACAAACACCTGAAGGTGTTAAAGACGTTGTCCACTCGAAACCAAAAAGTTCCTCAAGCACGCTGCGACCGCTTGAGCATCAAAAACTCGAATCAGGTAAGCTATCTGAAATCGAAGTCCTCGGGAGCTATCCGCATGGGGTGGACGACAGAAGCTCCTCGAACGTCTTATCGCTCCTGTTCTGCAATAACTTGTATTTAAAATCCTGTATCGGCTTCATCGGACTACGGATAGTCCTCATCTTCGAACTTGTTTTCCGAGAAGCTATAAGGCTATCTAAAGCTCAATACGGAGCATCTGTTTTTTATGGTTGAACTCGAAAGTAAACATGAGGACACTGGGTAATTTACAGCCCCTACGAGCACTCGCAACTCGATCGCTTTAGCAGTCACTTGTCCCTGCAACGGGTTTTCGAGACCAGTATCCTCGCGTCGGGGCGCCGTTCAGCTTTACCATTTTCTGCTAGGTCTCCTGAAAAGTCCTGAAGCTTCATCCACATGCATTCAATGGACGGGAAATGGATTCGAGTTCAAGCTTAACGACCCGGAAGAGGTGAGTTGGCGATCCGGCCCTCGGAGGAATTTTCACTCAGACTAATTGACACACTTCCGTACAAGTGCCCTGCTCCTTAACCATACCTGTAGAAAACCGTGGCTAGAACTTGGCCCGGAATCGGATCACTTCCGAGAGGATATCCGACGAATTTCGAAATATGTGAGGACACCGTACACAACTTCAGGTCGCGCGGCAATGGGGTGAACTGAAGAATCGACCGCAAATGAACTACGACAAGATGAGCCGCTCGCTCCGATACTACTACGACAAATTCATAATAGCGAAGGTTTCTGGAGAAAGGCAAGTGGAGGGCTGTGTCAGTAGCTCTTTTCTGCCAGTTGCTTTTGTCAGTAGCAAATCTTCTCACGAATCTATGTCGAATCGGTCTTTTGTCGAATTTCTCTCTCTCAGCTGAGAACTGTTGATTCCTTGAATTCTGTTCATCTGAAGTCTTTGGTATCACGAAATCCACCTGAGTGAGCGAGATTGAGACGGAGATAGTCAAACGCTGAATTTGGGTCAGCTCTGACCTCGATAGAGTTTCGACGCACAGAGAAAAGAACTTGCGAGCTCGAGGTGCAAGTTCAGACTCATTTGGACCATCGTGAACAAGGCTTGTCGCGGCTGACACGCCGTTTCGTCTCTTGCAGATACGTTTACCGATTCCTGCATATACCGGAGTGCCTTAATTATCAGAGCACGTCTGCAGATCCTTACAACTGCTCCTGGTCCGGGTGTTGCCTCGGCGATAGGAAGCAGTTCTGACGCGATGCATCACGCAATCTGTTCTGCCTTCGCGTATTCGACGCCAATACCTCAGAATCATTCCTCGGCGGGATAAAGGGTGTAACCATTTTTCAAAGACTCTCGCAGCCGGCATCCCGAAGATGAGGCTCCACTGCTAAAAATAAACCTCGAATATCAGCAATGTCTGTGTTCTTTGAGTTTGGCGATATCTAATAGGCGGAAAAATGGCGGAAAATACCACGGACGAGACGACACGCGGAACCAGCATTCGCTGGGAAACGATGTCGCCATAGGAGTCATTCCCCTAGCGACCCGGGATTATCCCGTCCCCTCCCCCGAGTTGTCGAACCCAATGATGACGTATGGGTTGCGGGAGGCTGCGTCGTGATCTTTGGGCTCCGGCGCCCCCTCCCTACATCCGAATTCGCTTCCCCACGCAAGGACGACAAGTTGGGTACGCTCCTGCACGGGAATCCATCCATGTCATTTCTGCCACATCAGGCGAGCCGCTGACGCCTCCTTGCAAGTTCTCGAAGGTCGGAGAGCTCTGAGTTCTTCTTGTCGTATCGGTCAGTGTCAATCGCAGACTCGGGAGAGAGCTGCGTCCGTGGAGTAGCATCAAGCTGGAACTTGCAGATACTTCGAGTTCAACAAGGCTTCAAGCTCCCAGGGAAGAGGTCTCTCATGATCGTGGAGAGGTGAGTAGTGTGTTTTGAATATTGCTCCCTTCCGATCTCGCGGGATTTATTCGGGTCTCTCACTTCGAGACCTCACCAACACTGCGAACAAAATAGCTCGTCCAACCGAGCGTTTTGCCGGCAACCAGCCTCGAATGGTGCTTGCCGCTCAGGAGACGACGCGGTCGCCTTTGCATGGAGACACCGAAAAACGCTCCTAGCAAGGGACGCTTCCGGTACACTTCGTCGTACATATGAGTGGGAAACTGCGCATTCCCGGAGAATGAGTACCTCGGAACTGGTCCCTCTAGCCTTCATCGAGCTTGAACTAGTTACGGAGTCATCTCCTTGGTGGGATGCAGGGCTCAAGGGGCGGGTGGAGCTCCAACTCTGTCTCGGATTATAATGAGTCTGCTATAGCTCTCTCTGCAGAGCTTCAGTGATTCTTCATCGGAGGGAAAGCGAGAGCTTATCACTGACTGCCGCTTGCGGTGTCCCGATGGGAACTACCGTTGGTAAGGATCTTCTGTTGAATGGGAGCGGAAAGCAACACTCGACTTGGAAACACTCGACTTTTCTTGCCCTCCGGCTCTCCATTGAGACATTTTCGGGCGCGAGTAGAACGAGGCCAATATAATGTACCGTGAATATATTTAATTATAAGAGCATGCCCGTCTTTTTCTCGACACCTGCCCGGCTGTAAGAGACTGTCCGTCTATTGGAGACTGCCCGTTTATCTCTTCCCTCCATCAAGAAAAGAATTGAGGCTGGTTGGTAGAACTGGCATACAGCATTGAATCAATCGGAAAAATCCCAAAAGTATATTGTATACACATAGAAACGAGCGTCGAGAGAAGCTTCCCCATTGAGCCACGCGGCGATCTGTGACTTGAGCTCTCCGAGTCTATGGTGCCCATACCCGCTCAAGCATCAGAGCTGAAACTCCGAGCGGAGTTTACCTCACCCTCCGCTCGGGGATCTTTCGCTCCACCTCCCACATGGACTATGTTTACCAAATGGATTCATTGGACGCGGCGGTCAGTGAAGTGATTTTGGACCAAGATGAGGTGAGACGAAGCCCAACTATTCGGCGAATGGACTGATTTTGTCGAGTTCTAGGGGACTTATTCAAATTAATAGAGTCGAGGCGTTCCCATGGATGGGTTCGGGCCGGCTCAAGGCTGCCACATCAGCTGTTGCTTCCACATAGGGACCAAGCGGACATATTTCGGCGCCTTCGAAGTTTTCTTCGCCGCGCGAATGGGTCCGAGATTGTATCTTGGCTGCGCACATGAGCTGTGACCTACTGTTCTTATCGAATTCGAGAGGAGAGCGGGCGCGTCTGTTTTACAAATGACTTGCTGGTGTGCATATGTCTGTATTCCATACTTTTCCGACATCCGACCGTTCTCGATATCAAGTACCGCGTATTCATTCGGGTTAGGAACGCCGCGCCGACCGACAATAGTCCGACGATGGCCAAGGATCCGTCAGCCGCGTCTCCCGAGCCCCCGAGGGTACTGCCCCCAGGAATGAACTCGAAAGTATTAAGTAATTGTTATGCTCCAGCCGAATGGTGCCGATCTCGGACTCGACTCCAAATTATTTTCTCTATCCAGCTGAAGAGTTCCTCAAATTGAGACCCTCTCGTTCGCCACGGGCTTTTCTCGGTCCACGAAGTCCGTTCCATTCCTGCTCTGACTTCGAGCTGTCGTGGACGTCCACGGAATTTAGGGGCTGAGCTACCCGGAGAGTTTGCGTAAAGTGTCAGAGCTATCATCGGTCGGCTTCACACTGAGGGATGCTCTTCAAAGTCGGAGCTAGACTTCCCGAGAGTGGAGTTCATCTTTGTGACCATAAATCTCGAGAAGTTCCTCCTGGAAGCATAGATATTCTGTGATGATAGCGGGTCAACTTGGTTCAAGGCCCTTGATCTCGATAATCTGAAGGTTGCACTACTCGCGGGTCTCTTCCGTACCCCGGGAATTTCGCCAGGGATAGTGACATAACACCGCGGTCGAAAGGAGAATTCATCATGCGAGACTGAGTGCGAATCCATGATAGGTAGGGGCTTCTCGCAGTCATCGAGCCTTGGTCGCAATGCGATAGAGTGGAAGATCCCCGACGCTCGAAGGCGGCAGCACAGCGAGACTAGCTCACTTGAAGCGCGAAGGTATATAACGGTGGTGGGAGTACAATGGAGATAAATGGTTCCGATATATTTGAAGAAGATCGTGTTCTTCCGGCACCGCATGATGCCCGTCTCGTCTGTGGTATATCGTCTGTCTTGTTCGCCCGTGCACACCGGAGCATTCCTTCTCAGGGTCGCCGCATTCGGCGGTGGCAGATGTGTACGGCCTTAGAGAGATGACGCTTCCGGCTCGCATATCGATTGATACCCACCATCGTGCATTCGGGGGGAAATCGCGGGGAGGCGGGGTTTTTTTGCGAGCATGCTCCGGCTCCTGATTTTTACCCGGAGGAAAAATGCATGCGCCCGATCGGACGGCTCGGACGACTACGCTGGACGTGACAATGGGGTGTTCAAGAAACTGCTGGCGATAGAGGCATGGAGCAGGTAGACGCGCGAATATTTCCAGGAGGTCGTTTGCGAGCTCATCCGGAACCTCGATCGAAGTTTTCTCCAGGAGAGCATTCGGGCTGCTCGAAATAGTGATATCAACGCTCCGGAGAGAGCCAGACAAATTACAAGACACCAGTCAGTCGTCGACCATAAAGCAATCGCATGCAACGCTTAACTTCCCTTTCTCTTGGCGCAGAGCCACGTTAAAGGAGTTCTCGGAACTCCGCGGCATAGACGGACGATCTGGTCGGACACGGAACGACTCGAAGAGGCTCTCGACGTACACTGGTGCACCTCTGAAGTCACCTGCGCCGCATCCCCCATCGCCGGCACCCTGATGGAGCAGAGACCTGCTGCTCCCAGACGGACCCCGCTGCTCAGACGGTTCTGGAAGCTCGGGGTCACCTGTCTGGGACCCGTACTTCTCTCACCTCTGTATTTTATTAACACGACGGTAAGGTTACTACGGCTGCGTTAGAGTTCGTTGATAGCTCACTCGACGGTTCTGCATCTTATTCGAAGGAGTGGCATTTGAAAAAAGTTTCTTCACGAATGTTCAATTCTTCGAATATCTGCGGGGAAGCTTCGCATGTCGGGTGAGCTCGATCACGACTCGTGAGAGTTCGGTGCAACTCTCCGCAATACAGTAAACCAGTTTTAGAATGTTTTGAGAGTATTTACGGCCCCTCTGGAGGCTTGTGTGTGATTGGGTGACCACATAGACAAAGGGATCTCTGTTTGGATGGTCACTGGGCAGAAAACTTCCGCATAGCTCGACTTCTTGAGCTGCTGACTTGTCGGAATGGAAGCTCCCGAACATTCTTTTTTGGTCGCTCCGAGAGCTTTTTGTGTGTAGCTGTGGAGAGCTCAGTGCCCAATTGGCTGTCGTGGCAACTCGCCTGTACAGGCTCGCAATCCGTCGTACGGAGAGAAATCCGAGAGAGTGCATGAGTTCGAGACGCATGTTCTGATAGTGCGTCTCGACACCGAAATGGTTCGGGAGAACCTTCCCACACGCGGTGCATTGTCTGGGGTTTTCTTCATTGACGGGAACTTCGGCCTGACCGTAAGCCGCGTCTCCGTAAACGGACGCCATGTGCTGGTCCGTAGAGCTCGCTGGCGAAACCCGGCCTTCGATCTTGGGGGGCCCGTCGGCAAGCCCGAGTCCGGGCCCAATGACGAACAAGGGGCGTTTTTACGACGCGCCGAGTCCATCTTCTCTCGAGATAACGTTTTTCATGGTCGAAATGCTACATAAGGATCGGCGGGTTATGCGTTAGGCAGTGATTGGCTCATCCTCGAACGAATCACGGTCCACGCGAATAATAAAATACGCGCTCCTCCTCATTCGTTCGTATACTTCCAGGAGTCGAGATGTGGATTCGTCGTTTCTCTCATGGCGCTGTACTGGATGACGGAGACGTTGCCTCTAGCAATCACAGCGTTGCTACCTGTAGTATTATTTCCATCTCTCGGAATCATATCATCTGATGAGACCTGCCAGCAATACTTGGTGAGCATCTTCCGAAAAGCGGCTCCACGCTTCTCTAGGCTGATCGAAGCACTCGTCCGGAGACGCGTCTGCTGTCTCAGCGAGACAGAGGTGTAGCTTAGATCGTAGCAGCACGGATTCTCTTTCGAAACGAGCTCTACTGATTCTCGAAATGACGGGAGGAGGGCGGGCTTCACTTCGAACCCAAGGAGCATGGTATGCTTAGGTATGCTTTTCGCGCTCTCTTGTAATACTTAGTGATCCCGGCTTCGTTCGCGGAGACTGTGGTCGATAAACCAAGCATTCATCGTTGTGGGAGATGCTTGCTCGTTGCCGCGTCTGACGGTATTTCGTGATTATTGCCAGGTGGAGACAAACATGGTATTTGTGGCGAGTCTTGTGATGGCAATCACAATCGAACATTGCAACTTGCACCGGAGGATCGCTCTGCGCGTGATGTTGTGCGTGGGAACCGACCCAAAGTGGTGAGTCAGAGCTCCGACTCGGGTCGATTCTCGACGTCGCGTTGCCAGAATCTCGGGGCACCAGGGGAATGAGCTCCGCCCGAACGCCATCATGGCATAAATCCAGATCGAAACTTCCTCTGAACTAATTTCTTGTTCATCTCGGAACTAGAAGCAGTAACGTCGGTGTCGTCCGGGGTGTTGGGAATCATTCTCAAGCCGCGATCCTCTCTTACAGGATAATGCTGGGTTTCATGCTCACTACCATGTTCCTATCAGTGTGGATTTGCAACACGTCGACGACAGCGATGATGATGCCAATCGTCGACGCAGTACTTGCAGAGATACTCTCGACTCGATGCAGTCCAGACGATTTGGAACTCGCCTCCTCCAATGAGAAATCTTCGGAGATCGCTCTGCTGGAGAAGGGACGGCAGTGCAACGGAAACTCAGACAAGTTAGTAGTCCCTCGTAGGCTCACTGTCGGATATCATGGCGCGCAATCGCGCGGATTCGCATTGCACACGCCTTTGCTTCTCATTCTGATGGATTCTTCGTCCCCTGGTGAATGAAGGTCGCTGAAAAATCTCGCAGTATTCTCGGACCATCACGAGCGCCAGAGAAAAGAACGACATTTGGCGAAAGGTCTCTACCTGAGTGTAGCGTTCGCTGCGAACATCGGCGGAACGGCGACCCTTACCTCCGCGGGGCCCAACCTCATCCTCAAGTTCATCATGGACGAGTAAGCACTCAATGGAATCAGGGACGCTGATTGGCGTTTACTCGAAGCGAGGCTCGATTCGGGATACGATCCCTACAGAACAATCATTCCCGAATTCACCTGCAACCCTCTCAGGTATTACGACGGTCGCCCTCCCATTGACTACGCATCGTGGATCGTATTCGCAGCGCCTGGTGTAGTTTGTACAGTTCTCCTTGTCTGGGGAGCTTTCCAGCTCCTTTACTTCATGAACCGGTGAGGTTTTTCCACCTTCCTGATTTTAGCCGAGGGGAGTTCCTGACTTCCTCATTGGAACGATTCAGCCGAACCCGATCGCGAACTGACTTTCTTCGATTTTTGGCACACTCTGAATGCAGACCACTCGATTCGGGAATGAATGGTCACGCTGCAAAGAAAACCATCAACAAGAAGTATGAAGAACTGGGGCCCATCACCTTCCACGAGACTGCTGTCCTGAGCCTATTCATATCGATGGTTCTACTCTGGATGTTCCGGGATCCGCATTTCATGACCGGCTGGGCTAATATCTTCCATTATGGTTCAATGTGAGTTCCGATCTTCGTTCAAACCCTCTAACAGCCTATCTCGCTCGACCCAGTGTTCAAAATTTTTTTCTCTCTGATCTATCCAATGAAGTAAACCGAAGGATTCGACATGCGCAATGTTCATCATTGTGCTGCTCTTCGTGCTACCGTCAAAGCTGAGCAAAGCCGGCGATTGCCCGCCATTGATAACCTGGCAGACGATACAGCAGAGACTTCCATGGGGGGTCGTACTCCTACGGGGCGGGGGCTTCGCGATGGCTGAGGCCACAAAAGTGAGTTTCGGGCGGTGATCCGGTCGCGATCATATAGACACATGGTACCCTTAGCGCGGGGCTTTCTTCTCAACATTCAGTTATTCACCTCGCACAGAATATACCATGTAGGTCGAAACTTTGCGCGATGATTCATGAGGAGAAATTTTCAGAAATCCGGGCTGTCGGCTTGGATGGGACATCAGCTCGCCGTCTTCAATTTCCTGAAACCGTCCTGGATGGCTTTCGCGGTTTCTAGCATCGTTGCCTTCTTGACTGAGTTCGTCACAAACTCGGCGACAGCGACGATCTTCTTGCCGATCGTGGCTTCATTGGCAACCGACCTTCACATCAATCCGCTCTACCTTGTTATTCCTGTCACGCTGGCTTGCTCCTACGCTTTCATGTTGCCTGTCGGAACTCCCGCTAACGCCATCGTGGCTACCCATGCGCAACTCAAGACCTTAGACATGGTAAGTCGTCGTCCCGCGATTCGATCTCCTCAGCGACGACGACGCGGGCGATATCCGATTTCATAGGCAGTTTGAGCTCAGTCGGAGACACAGGGTAATCGGAGGGACGAGAATATCCTGAGGAGCCGCTCCGCCTGAATATGCTATTTCAGCCGCCGTCGCGGTAGTCGTCAAATCTCTGTTTTGAGAAATTAGAGCCTCGGATCTGATCAGCGTCCGCGATCTCACATCACCGAGCGCCTCTTGCTTCCCTCCGCTGCTCGAACAGCGATTTGACATCTTGTCGTCCCGCAAAATACGATGCTCTGAGAGTATCTTGATTCGGTGGGCATCAAAGCCAGACTGGCTGATCAGGTTGACCTCTCAGATACGCAATCATCCGCTTATCGAGTTCTGAGATCCTGCCGACAGAGTAAAGCCCAATGTTGCTTAGCATTAATGTATGGATGCTAATCTTAGCCGCCTCGATCCGAACTGACTCTCTGGGGACATTGGCCGTGTAGACGAGTTTCATCAGCGGAGGGAGACGCGATATGACTCTCGATCTGAAGCCCCTGTTCGGTGGTGTATGTGCTCGGACTGTTAAGGATACGATAGGCGAACTTCAAAAAGCGTCATCGCTGAACTTTAGATCTGAGCGGACAATATTCCAAGCCCGTTCCCTTCATGAAGGCAGCTTGTTCGTTCGTAGTGATAACGGGTCAGAATAGTCGTTCTCTGAGCGATGAAAGCTACAGCATCGGCTTCGAGATTCTCTTCCCGAATATCGAATCATTTTCTCCGTCAAACGAAATCGGGGGTCGGAGTTCTCAACGAGGGAAAATCTGGCCTGAATTTATTTTGGAGGGAGCCCCGCGGGATGTGCGGAGTTTCCTCGGCCCTCACCCTAGACGAGAATATCGTAGTGCTGCTGTCTATATTCGTCGGTAGAAGCGTATTGCACTAACGAGCTTTCCAATATTTCAGTTGCTGCCGGGTGCCATTGCGAAGTTGATCTCGATCTGCACGATGCTCGTCTCTCTGAACACTCTTGGACGATTGATATATTCATTGGACACGTTCCCCGATTGGGCTTCTGAAAGCATTCTGTCCTCTGCCGCGAACGCGACAAGTGGAGCAAGTGGTCATTGAGTCATTGCCGGCGCTGAGCCTGACTGAGACTGTCTCGATATCCGATCAGTCTTTCGAAGCCGGATCGGTCGGGTGCATCGTCTCAGATGTGCTATCAGGGGGTCACCCGATTCCAATGAGCCTAATTCTGCATCCCCTACGGGGTTCGTTCCGGGGAATGGAGAACGAGTGAGCCAAGCAGTGGGATACACTGTTCTTGGAGTTCCTGAATACGCACACTAATTTACCGCTCGTTTTCGTATTGTTCCATCAAGTATGAAAAGTAGGAACGTGACAGGAATGTTCGCGGATACCCTAATGATCATCATCCTCGTGTCAGATAAAATCGTTGTAAATAATCAAGTAAAGAACTTCAGACTGAAATAAAAAAATGGCTTCCCGCGGCTGGGGAGCTATTCTTCGTTGAATATCGCATCAGCTCGTCGGCACCGATTACTCATTCTCATCACTATAATATGAATATCCCGAAGGGGAGTACATGATTCGGTCAGCGTCGAACTAAGCGACCACGGATAGATATTCTCCCTATGGCCTATTCTTCCTACGCTGGAATGGCAAAGCTCCATAGTTCCAAGCTCCATCGCGAGATAGATGTAGGTAATTCAGTGACATCTGTACCTCAGCCATATCCCTAACGGGCAAACCTAGCGAAGTGAGGGATTCCCTTCCGTCGAAATAGGGTGTACAAGCCGAAGAAAGCCGAACCGAGTCTTCTAAAGTACTGAATGATGCAGGATGGAATTCGTCGAATCTAAAAAACGATATCTGAAGCACTGAAAACGATTGGGCGAGGCAATTCGCTCTTTTCAGAGGCCATGTCTAGGGCTCTAAGTACCTTGCAGAGCATATCGTTCATCATTGTCGGAGCCGATCGATAGTTCCGATCACAGTCGGAAGGTCTTCCATTCACGACAATCCAGCCAGGAGCACAAGACACTGATTCAGGTGATCTGGACCCGAGCTTTTCGGGAACAGAACGCGATCATTATCGCCGCTGTGTAATAATAAACAGTATCTCCTACACCGCACCGCAGGCAAACCTTGATTCCAGTCACGAGTTTTTGGGAGCGGGCTCATTCTTTGTTGCCTCAGGGGAGCGCTGCTTGAGAACCCTAGCGTGTCGCCGGATTGTCATTAGAAGCGGTGAAGATAATGAAACGACGTCAAGATAGACCGTTCCGAAAACGCGATGCATTGATTCGACGCAGTGCATCCGAAGGTAAACACTCACCTTGAACATCGCTGGAAGCACGACAAAGTCAGCTCGTAAATCTGGAAAGAGATGAAAATTCATAGGATCTCGAAGTTTTTCCGCTGATCACGGCGAGACGTACTCCAACGTCCTGGATTCATTCGTGCGTATCAGAATGCGTTTGCGGTCTCTCGCATGCCGCCCGGATGAACTGGAACCGCCCCGAGAGCTTTTCATGGGCGACTCCGCATGGAGATTCATCCGAATTCGACGCCGTCTGACTTTTCCCGCTTCCACCCGCGAAGGAATGCTATAGGCATCTAATGAAATTTTTCTGAGTCACCCCGACCCGGAAGTCTCAGAGTGCGGGATTTAGACTCGTGCCCATGCTTCTGGATTGGGGTCGATTCAGGCAGGAGAGGCGATGCACCCCCCGCTCATAGATCCATCCGTCGGTGGAGATTCAGCAAGTCTTCCGGTACCACCGATTATCTCAATTAAGGAACTTCCATGGATTACCCGGAAAAATGGAATCCGGCTGTAAGAGGGCGGGGAGCAATAAATTGAGCGGGAATCACTATCACCCGCGGGCTCCCGCCGAGACCAGTGCAATTAGGGGACCTTCTCAGAGCGGGGTCATGGTGAACGCCGCCGGAACTCTCGTGGTTTGTTGAATAACGAGGAAAGCTTGTCTGGCGCTGGCAATCCTCGGTTACGTGAAGCTTCATCCGTGTGCTCGGCGTGGGCTTCAGTGGATGATGAGAATCACTTCTTCCTCGCTTGACGTCTCTCCCACGGCGAATAATTGCTGCGACCCGGCCAACTTCCGTCTGTCTTTGACACCTATCATGATGTCGCTGTATGTTGGCTGCCGCATTGTTTATATTCGCCGTAAGAGCAACTTTCTCCGTTATTCGCCCTCCCGTCCATCCATCTGTGCTTTGTCTGTGTGCGAGGCACGCTTACCAGAAAGGTAGAAAACGGTGCGGGTGAGGGTTCCGAAACCCCTCCCCATCTCGTGTCGCGCCGGGCTCCGATCAGTCAAAGCGCGCGCGAATGTCGTCTGAACTGTGTCCGCGCGCTACTGAACCTGTATCGTGAGCCTAGCTATAAACTAGGTGCAATGAGGCGCTGGCCGCTTGTTTTGTTGAGTTTGAATTGTTTGACCTTAGTGGGCAGTCGAGTTTCGACCAAACCGTGGCATTATGACAAAGCGGCTCGGATGAAAGCCCGAGAACAGCGGGAACTGCCACACACATTCGTCAAAGCCGGTCTCATCAGAGGCACCAGGGCTCAAGTAAATTCGAGACCGATTGACGTCTACTACGCTATACCCTTCGCCCTGCCCCCGGTGGGACCATTCCGATTCCGTAAACCGGTCCCGGTGAAAAGATGGAAGGGCATCCTGGATGCCACGAGACCAGGACCTCCGTGTACCCAGAAGGACGTGCAAGTGAACCAGTTCTATTCGAGGGATTCCGTGAACTCGACCGAGGACTGTCTCCATCTGAATGTGTTCACGGCGGCGCGTTATTGCTTCTCGCAAAATCTTCTGCACTGCGGATCTAAACCGGTGATCGTTTTCCTCCATGGAGGTGGCTTCCAAAATGGGGGCAATTCCGATTTCGTGCTGGACTCTAAGCACCTGGCTGTCATGGGTGACGTCGTCGTCGTCATACCGAACTACCGACTCAATGTATTCGGGTTCCTCAACGGTAATGTCACGGAAGAGGTGAGTCCTGAGTTTCGATTCAGTTTGCAGAGTGCTGGCGTCAGGATCTGCCTGGGGCGAATCGAATCGTTATTTGAGATCATGGGGAGACGAGTCCGAGCGATTTCCGAATTTTGAGGAGAGCGGCTCCTGATGTCCTTCCCCTGGGATACGTTCAGTGCAGTCCTCAGTGCTCTCCGCAGCCTGCCGCCTTTGCTCCCTACGCCTGGATGCATACTCATGTGCTTGGATCGCGCGTTCTCATGGACGACTCTCAGATCATCCCGAGTCGGAGTGAGGTTGGGTGCGGAAGGCGGAACGAGATGCGGTCGGAATTGAATCGTGGAGATGAAGGAGAACTCGCGCGGGCGATCATCGTGAGAGCACAGGGTTACACGATGTTTCGTACGATCGACCCCAATCAAAAGCTCTACCTGGCGAGAAAATGGATCGCGACAAGTTTCTAAACTCACTCTGACATCCGCGCCTTCAAATAGCTTACGAACCGAAGTCGACCTTGTGAAATCACTGATCCGCGTCCGAATCCGTTCGATTCGACTCCGACGTAGCGCCGAATGATCGGGCCCATCAGCGGGAACATTCTGCTACAAGAGAATCCATCATTGTCTCACGCTTTTTCTCGAGACTGAACTTTGAATCGCTCGGTCCAGAGCAATTTCGAGGGGGGAATCGGCTTTCGGGTAGAATCTGTAATAACCCCTCTGACGAAAACAATCCCCAATAATCGTTCCATCAAGAACAATCGAGAAAAAGGATTGCGAGACCTGTCACGAGGAACTCATTTTCACTGCGTAATCCCAGGTAGGAACTCGATCGGGCAGAGACTGCTGTCAGAGAAATTCCGCCTTCGAGTACAAGCCGGAAAAAATAGCGCCCGGCCCTTGCGCGGAAGCAATGGGGCACAAATCTGGTGCGTCCACCTTCCCGGGTTCGGCTCGACCCGATCGTTCCCACGTCAGAGAGCGGAGTTTCAGGGAGAGGCATACCGTTTCCGCCCTACCGGGGAAACACGGGATGATTATGCACATGGTCGTAGGCAGGTTGGGTTGAAGTCCCAGCAGACGTGCCTTCGACGGGAGTTTTTGACGCAAACCCGAAAGCGAAGTGGGAGCAAATCGAACAGCCATTGGGACTTTTCGAAAGGACGATACAGTCCTGCGAAGGCACGGGCGAAGTCCACTAATGAAATTTTTTATTTCTCTTCTTCTGCAGGTGCCCGGTAACATGGGACTCTACGACCAGATCCTCGCTCTCGAGTGGATTCAGAAAAACATCGCGTCTTTCGGTGGGGATCCTCGTCGAGTGACCGTGTTCGGTCAGGGTGCCGGTGCGGTCTCCACTGGATACCATCTGATTTCTCCAATGAGCCGCGGCCTTTTCAAGAGAGCCATTCTGCAATCCGGCTCTCCATACTGGAAATTACCGGACAACACATTCACCGGCAAAATGAAAGTTCAACAGCTAGCCCTCGAACTCGGCTGCGACGAGTACATCGTTCGCGGTCAGGTTCTGGCTTATCCTCGCGAAGTGATGAAATGCCTGAGGAGGATCCCATCCCACACGCTCTACGAAGCGATGGCTAAAGTTTTCGGCAGTGAGGGCAGCACCATGATACCGAGTTACTTCAACGAGCTGCTCCCGAACGAGCCGATAACTTCTTGTGAAAAGGGTCATTACGAAAACAACGTTGACGTACTGGTGGGAACGGTCACCGATGAGGGAACTCTACCCGTGGATCAGTTCTTCTGGAAATTGTTCGCGCTCGACTCGTTCTTCAGTGTTCCAGTGTCGGATATTTGGTTCTATGCATCACTGTTCTTCCAATCGGTACTCGGCCGGAGTGTGGAGCCCGTTCGGGGACTCTACGCCGACACAAACGGTGACAACTCCAGCACGTCGGCGAAGGACGCGGTGGAAGCCGTCGCTGCTGCCGTGGGGGATTTCGGTGTCGTCTGCCCCTCGAGTTACTTCGCGGACAGTTATTCGAAACGTGGGAACCGCGTCTGGTTGTATCAGTTCGACCACCGGCCAAGCTATAGTGCTTCTCCTGAATGGACAGGTATGCGACAGGAATTGAGCCGCGCCGAAGGTGTGGGAACATTGAACGCACAAGGTAACACTATATAGGTGCAGTCCGATTGACGTAGTGCTTGATTTTTATCCTCCAATCACTAGGGGTTGTTCACGGTGACGACGTTGGATTCGCGCTGGGATATCCGTTGTGGCAAAAGTCGTCAACAGAGGAGGAAAAACTTTTGTCCCGACGAGTCATCCGGATTTACGCCCATTTCGCGCACACGGGGTAAGTTTCTCGAGGAATTTCTGAATTTCTCCGGACGAATCTTCCGCCCCGCAGAACAATTTTCTGTGATAGATAGGCCCTCCTGATGCAATTAGGCACTGGCTCTCTTCCCTTTCCCTACCCAACACAAGCAAAGGTAGCTTAGGGATTCGAGGTGAGACATGGGTCAAAAACTCTGGGAGCGTTGCCAACGATTATTATTATTATTGGCCGACAGGTCAGGGTAGTTACTCGACACTGCGAATCTCTGACAAAGCTTTCACGGGTTTCTCGTATCGATGATCTATGAGGAAAGAAAAACGCAAACAAAGACAGCAGAGACCTTGGCTACTGCTTGGAGCCTTCCTTGAAAAACAAACCGCAAAGAAGGCATTCTGAGTGAAATATAAGCCGAGATATTCTGAAGGCGTCCTTCCCAGTGCGTAAGAATCTCTCGGCAGCTGAACAGGCGGCTATCTACGTGATTAGGCATTTGTTTGCTTTGTCTATCAGACCTGTTACGGAATCAACACGCGTTAGATAATATTTATTATGAATCTACGATCCATCTCGGGGATTGAGCCTGGATTGGTTTTTAAGCGCGCTGCTCGCTATTATTAGACACGCTTTTATACCATTGACGGTTTCGCTGTCGTATCGACGTGGACAGTCGTGTAAACTTCGTGGAGTTGGGTTTGCATGTCGAAAGGGAGAATCGATGTGTGAGTCTTGCCGCTGATCGAGATATAGTATCTCAGCTAGGAACGACGTCGGCGCGCGGCTCTAAGCATGGGACGCAATAAGCGGCGACACGCGACATCTTCAAACGGATAATAATTCAACCTGTTCGATACTCATCGATTCCGAGCTAGACCTTACCCGAAAGCCGGCGCGGAGGATTTGGCGACGTTCTTCGACCGTTAATCTAATGGACATAGATTCAAGATGGAGAAGTGAGAGCCACGTCGGGTAAGGGTTTGTCAACCACGACAGAATGGTCATGAATCTCACGGATGGAAAAACTTGGAAGATTGAAGTACCTACTCTCACTGATGTCCCATATCGTTCTTTGAAACTCAAACCGAAGTGACAAACCACGGGAATCGGGGGATGCTGCTCGTTTATTTTTAAACTTTCGTGCTTCCTACCATACCTGATGGTGATGTAATTTCCAACATATTGTGACGGTCTTGTTTTTTACTCCATTTTTATGCATCCCACGTCCCGCGGTTTGGAACTTCATCACAACGTTTTCGTCGTCGATGCTTCCTTCGCACCTTCGATGAAGCGGCGGCGAGTCATTGATGCGCTTTTTTTTGCGCAGTTCCCTCCAGTCCTATTCGGGTTTGTCCAAACCTTGTCTCGGATTTGTCTCCGACGAGAATCTTCCCGGACATGCACAGCGAGGGCCTCATTATATGTGCTTTCGAGTTATGGCGGCTCGTTTTTCACTCGGTGGAAAGTTCTGTACGATTCGCTGTACATTTTTCCCCCAAGAATCGAGTATTCTTCCGGAAGCGGCTTCTCCAGACCGTTATCTCTGACGCTGCATTCACTTATCCGGCGCAGGAGTCGCCGATGGATTCGAAGTACAGTTTTCCGACGGATGATACTCAATTTCTCGAGATGGCCGATAGGAGGAACTCCTATCCGAGGTTCCACGGTACCGAACGAGTCAGATGTATACGGCGGGAATTCTCCGATGAAGAAAAACCCGTTGTTCAGGCCTTCACTAAGATCGTGATTTGATCAGATACGAACGCTCTGCGGGCAACGATTTTTCTGTTTACTTTGAGGCGAATTGTCTTTGTTCTGTTGCGACGCTCAGCGGAAGGTGGTTGAGATTGCCAGGGACAGTTGTCGGATGTGTCAATAAGAATGAAACGTTCGAAAAGGAACCGAACTCGCGTCAGGAGGCTTGACTTGGTTGCACCATCGGGTGAGCGTGGACGGACATTCCTGTGGTAGAATGTTCGAACTGATGGAGAAGCCCAGGGGATTCGAACTTCGGGGATTTTCTACGAGCTCCTGCGGCTAAGGAGCAAGAACTGACGAGGAATCGAGCGACGCGCTCCAATGAGGGGAGAGTAAAAACCGATATCGCCGCGGTGACCGATGAAAGGTTTCGGAGACTCCGAATAATAAGCCCGTCATCAGGGGACGAGTAGCGGAGTCGAGACTCCCTAAAGAGGGATGGAAATCCTTCGGATTGAGGTGCGCTGAACACGGACGTAGTTTTCGACTATGGCCGCTGACCGCGATGCGAGTATAGTCTTCCATACCGGAGGGCTTCAAGTGGCTGGTGAGCGCGGAGGGGTCGTAGGTGACGAAAACTCGGAAAAGAACGGATTGGAAAACGCTGAAGAAAATGCTGCTCAATAGATCTATGGATGGCTGGCGCGGGCATCGCCTGTGCTAGGGCTCAGGGAGGTTCGGATCGCCGGAAAGAAGCGTGGGTTCATTGTAAGCGCATTCATCCTCACTTTACGATCTTCGGACAAATCGGATGGACGAGAGAAAGCGTCAGAAAATGGCAGCCTAAATAGAGGCACAAAATCGAATTGAAGAAGTGTGGGATTTTCTGTTTGAAAGAAGGTCAAGTACCCATCGAGAAACTTGCGGTTTTCGGACGGATGGCGACGAGACACTATTTCTTTTCTTCTTATCACGGGTAGTCACTCCACGTAATCCGACATTTCGTGCATGATCGACGTAGCGTGTGAACTTCTTTCAGTCAGTTACGCTCATTCGCCTGCCTGTCGGTATTATCCGATAACGTTCTTATATTTCAACCGGAGACATCGAGTCAGCTTTGTTTTCGGTCACTCGACACGGACTTACGATACCGAATGAAGCGGCTTACTGACGATGTCAACAAGTCGTCTTTCGAGTGATCGCACGCTCCACCCCGCCATCATAGCTCCAACAGCTATGGATGGCGCCGCTGGCACGAAATATTTGGTTGCATCGTACTCGAAATCCTCTCCTGCTCCTCGACGGAGTCGACTGAGAAGACACGGAGAATCCCCCCCTCAATCTCTGTCATCGGGGAAAACTCGAGAATAAATCTATGATGCCTCGGTATTCCCATGAATATCACGGCATCGTAGATTCGTTCTCGCCTAGGTATCGCCAGCTTCAGGAGTTCCGTAGAATTTCGCGCGAAAAAAAAAGACGGAGTCGACGAGTGATTGTCTCGAGCGAATTTGCCCGTGGGCCGCAGGAATCTGAAATGCTGTCCCACGTAGCCGACGGAGCCCGGAGTGAAGGAAAAGGCGAGAAATTTGAATTATCTACATGGAGAGGTGTGGCGCTGTATCGTCTTTGTGGTCGAGTTCTTCCGCCCCCGGCAACCGTTCGTCTTTTCAACGACAACAACAACCGCTCGGCTGAGTTGCCGCCACCGCTATTTTGCCTTTTCCTCTGACCAACTACCTGGTCGGCTGGCGCCCGCCAGGAGAAGCGGCCAACCGACCGGCCGGTCGACCGACAGACCGGCTGGCTGGCTGGCTGACCGTCAGCAATTCAGCCATTACAATGGACCCGTCGTTGTTGTTGTTGTTGTCGTTGTCTGCCAGATAACTGACCAACTGAATGATTGACCAAGCGACTTACTAACAGACTGTCGGCGTCGATTGACCACGCCGCTGTCCAGCGAATAAATGAGTCAGTACTTCTTTAATGCCAACGGACTCATTGACACTCTCGCTGACGCGACGCCGACGTTGCCTCACTGTCCGTTGACTGACTGACTGACTTTTCTAGTCCTTCGACGAGGGCTTCACCTTGCTACCGAGCGATCTTCCGAGCGAATGTTTCGAAAAGTGATGCTCCGATTGTCTCACTCACTCAGTCAGCTGCACACCTGTGAGCTGATAGTGTCAGTCTGTGAGAACATTCGCGTGTGAGAACAGCCCAAGTCACTGTCGATACATTTTGTTTTCTTCGTGGAAAATGCGAACGAATGGAAAATGAATGGACCGTCTTCCTCGCATAATCTCAATCGGGAAGACGTACTACACAATGCCCGCTTTCAATACTTCGCGTGACTGTGCGTGGTCTCAAATAGTCTGTCACTCTTCTCCAGTTTCACATCACTGTGCGGGTTTATCCCTCGGCTTGAGCTGCGCTTATCTGTCATTTTCGCGAAGCTCCGGCTCTAGTTCAATCGCGACGCCGCGTCGGCCGTGTCGCGGTGACGCGCGCTCCAGCACATCATCGCGTAGTACCTCCGCTACTCGGTCGGTCGATTGCAGCGGGATGCTCGAGCATTTCGCTTGACCGAAGGCATCGTAGCGACTTTTCTCAGCAAACAGGACATTCTATTAATAAAATATTAATTCGAACTAATTCGTGAGCGGCATCGGGACCGCTTTCGGGCACGTGATCCATCGGCTGGATTTGCTCGACCGATAGAACGATAGACGGGCGGGCGGAAAGCCCTGCAGCAGTATGCAGGGGGAAACGTCTCAATCTCGTTACGAAATTCGTGTTCGTTCGTCTGTTGATGTTTTTTTTTTACATTTCGGCACACAATGTCTTGTTCCGAATGGTCCTCCCCATAGTCGCCATTTGTCATGGAAAATCTCATTCTTTAATTCCTCATTGTTCGAGAAGCGTTGCTGAATGATGAACGTCTTGATGGTGGCTGCCATGGAAGCTTGAAGAGGAAGTTCTCTCAGTCAGTCGCGGGGGGGATTCGGTCGGAGGCGTCCTATGGCCATTTCATCATGTCGACCGCTCCCATCGACTGACCGCCCTGGGAATGCTTACACTCAATAACGTATCAGGATCGACTCGTAATCGATGCTCGGCTTGGATTGCTATGCGTCCCGAAGGAGCTGAGACACAATGGACGTCGGCGTCGTCCGACAGTGATGAAACTCATTCGACGTAATGTCTAGCATTGGCGGACATGCTCCTTCGGGGAAAAGAAGAAAATTATAGAGGCGCTCTGAGCATGTCCCTCTCTGAACTAATCAGCTGATCTCATCGCGGACGCGATCCTGGACTATGCGTAG